CTTCATGATCCTATGTTTAAATGAAGAATCTTCAAATCTACAATACGTTATGATAATGTTTATCATGTAAGTTTATATTTTATTAGTTCAAGATTGGCTGTAATATATTTCGCTTCATTATCTCTGAGAATTTAGCGCTAAGTCTGGAAAATCATATAGAATCGCTTTAAACATAATTATTCAGTTAGGTCTACAGTATAACGCGTTATATCAAATATCAGAGCAACGTAAAATCAAGTCAATTAGTGTGGATTCAACTGTCTTTCTATATTGTCAGCCATTACAAACCGAGCATATGAAGATGTTACAGCTGTTATCAACATAGGCTCATTCATATTTGATCGATAGTTTAAATCATTAATAATTACGTAGATGGATAGCGCAGTTCTTTGGTTGGTTAGTTGATTCTTTCCCTCGATCGATTGACAGTTGGTTTGTTGGCTAGTTTCTTACGCTGCTAGTCTGTCTGTCTGTAGGTCAGTCAGTGAGTCGTCAGTCCGTCCGTCCGTCCATCAGTCAGTCAGTCAGTCAGTCGATCAACAGTTGGTTCGTTGGCTAGTTTCTTTCATCACTTGTCTGTCAGTCAGTCAGCCAGTCATTCAGTCAGTCAGTAAGGTCCCGGTCAGTCAGTCAGTCAGCCAGTCAGTCCGTCTGTCCGTCCGTCCGTCTGTCAGTCTGTCAGTCAGTCAGTCAGTCAGTCAGTCAGTCATTCAGTTCGTGTGTCCGTCCGTCAATCAGACAGTCCGTCAGTTGAGAATTATTAGAACCTTGTTTACAGTTAGACATTACCTGGCATTATCTGAATTCAGAAAATAAAGTCGTTGTTGTTGTTACCAGATTTAGGTTACAAAGTCAAAAAAAATTATGGTTATTTCTTTGGATTACCAATAGTCACTGGTTTAAAAAAAAAATTATCCCCGCAGGTTTTCTAAACGACTGAGGCAATCGGGACCGTAGGATGAAAACAGCCTTCACATTCTAGCCTGTAAAAAACCATCCCTAGAATCTCTGCTCCAAGCAATCACCAAATATGAATGAACCTGATAAAAACAGCAGTAACCAACCTTTTGCTTATACGGTAGGACGCATGTTCAAGATTCCCCGTGACAGGATGTTGGATTGTCGCACGACGAAGCTGTTTGGAAACGTTTGTGAATAACACTAATTAGTACAATTCTACCATTTTACCAAATGCTGCAGCCTGATTGGTGGAGCAATCGTTCACTATAAGCCATAAATGCGCAACCAGTGACTCTTGAGATCTTGTCTACAAATTGTTGATATTTTCTCGTTTTTCTGAAGTTTTGGAGGAAGATTAAGAAATACTACTCAATAA